TTCCAACCCAAACCAGTCTGGAATTCTATGACTTGTTTTAGCTGAAGCAGAGGAAAAAGGATGGGATTTTCCTAAAGTACCTGTGGAATTCAGCAGCCTTCATGCCTGTGCCGGGCCAGGGCCGGTGCCGGTGCCTGTGAATCACTCGTAGGATGGCTGGATTTCCAGCCCTGAATCACTCGTAGGATGGCTGGATTTCCAGCCCTGGCTTTAATCATGATGTAAATCACCGGCTTGCAGCTCGTTTGGCCTGTGCTCTTTGTGTCTGCACTTTTAAAAGGATATTCCCCAGAGAAGCGCTGACTCCCCTGCTTGGTAACCATTAGGAGGTTTCTCTTTTCAGCTAAGTGGAGCCCGTGCACTAAATTTAGTACTTGTGTTTGCTGCTCAGGATGTTACATGGAACATCTAAGTGGCTTTATGTCATATCATACATAGAGTCAGACTGCATTTGTCTTCTACTCCATTAAAAAAAAGATTATTGGTTTGGTTTGGTTTGGTTTTTTTTTGTATGTGTGTGATACGTGTCCATCTGCTTTTGGATAGAAATTGGAATTCAATTAAAACACAGAAATCAGCATTTTAAAGAATGCTTTTATTAGTTAAATAAAACCATGTTAAATGTTCTGGATGCATGAGCAATAAGTAAAAAAAAAAAGCAAGCTGTTTTGCATCTGAAGTTAAATGATTTATTGAGCAAAGGAAGCTATTATCTATCAGGAGGGAATTGGATGGATTGTTTGTGGTCATAACAGCCTTTCAGATTTTTTAGAAGTGGTAGATCTCATCCTCGCCCACCTAGTTTTAAATCCGAGGTTGGAATGAAAGAGTGAGCATTAGAACTTTTTGGCTTCCCAGTTGGTTTCTTAACTTTGAGTGACCTGAACTAAACTGAAAGGAAGCGAATACAGCCCGTGCATCTGCAGAAAAGGTTCTGGCTGCCAAAACGTGGTTTATCAGCTCAGCAAATTCTGGTTGCAGGTGATTTTTATTTATTTATTTATTTAATACCCATTCAAGGGGGATTACTTGATCTAAAATGTTGGCAATAACACAGGTAACTGCTTTAGTATTCGTTTTTATTTAGCTTAAACTATCTTAAACTCATGTCTTAATGTAGATTGTCATCATTTCAAGTCATGGTTTGTAAACAGCTGCATTTTAAAGAGCAGAAATATGTTTAGTTTTCATTTCCAAAAGTGCCTTTGCTGTTTCCTCACATGCCTGAAAGCCCAACACAAGGCACTGAGCAGGAACCAAGTGTAGCTGTTAATTCGTGATGAAGAAGCTTGTGGGGAGTCTCCTGGAGCTGCCTCCTGATGCCTTTTCTCCCTTCACTTTGGCATTTCTTTCCTCTTGCAGGGAGCAGATCAAGAGGGTGAAAGACTCAGATGATGTTCCCATGGTTCTGGTGGGAAATAAATGTGACCTACCAGCCCGGACAGTGGAGACCCGGCAAGCGCAGGACCTGGCCCGGAGTTACGGGATCCCCTACATAGAAACATCTGCCAAAACCAGACAGGTAGGAGGAGAGTTTTCAACAAAATCTGCTTTTTCTTCTCTTTTCTCCAGTGCTGTCCTAGAGAGGCAGGAATGGGCAGACACCACCTTGCAGATAGATGAGTGTAAGTGCTGGGGTTAGTTGCTTCCTCAAGGCTAAATGCTCTATCAGGACATTCCCTCCCCTGTCTGGGCTTGAGCCTCATCTGGAGAAGTGTGGAATTCATGCTCTGGCAGCAGTGAAGGGAAGATGCCTTTTCTGCGAGGCTCTGGAATATCCTGCAGGTCAGCTAAGCTCAGGGGACTTGACTAACCTCAGCCATGGTCCATTTTGGCAGACCTGCAGGCAGGATATACCAGTGCTGGAAGGATCATGTGGGGCTCCCAGAGCACAAAAGTGGAAATGGAGCAGCTGATACCTTCAGTGGTCTAGCGGTGGCTTTTCTCTTGGGTGGTAGACCTCGCTCAGACTGCTGAAAGCTGATGGATCTTAAGGACTTAAGAGCTCCTTGGCCTTGTGGTTACTCATTCGATCTCTCTCTGTTTGGGGGCCATGCTAAGGTCCCTGTTGGTCTTCCTAGCTGGGGATCAGAGCCCTCTCTTCTCTCCCACTGTCCCCTCTCAAAGTGGGCAGCTATTTCAAGCGATGCTTTTCTTGCAGGGCGTTGAAGATGCCTTCTACACCTTGGTGCGGGAGATCCGTCAGCACAAGCTGCGCAAGCTGAATCCCCCCGATGAGAGTGGCCCTGGCTGCATGAACTGTAAATGTGTCATATCATGACTATGGTGAGTTTTGGGAGCAGGAGATGGGGTGCAACAGGGTGATACTGGAGATAGGAGATGGGGTGCAACAGGTTTATAGTGGAGGTAGGAGGTGGGGTGCAATGGGGTTATACTGGGAGCAGGAGATGGGGTGCAATGGGGGTATTCTGGAGGTAGGAGATGGGGTGCAACGGGGTTATACTGGTGATAGGAGATGGGGTGCAATGGGGTTATACTGGGAGCAGG